GGGGCAGAATTCCAACAGCCCAGGGCTGAGGGTGGGCAGGGCAGGTGCCATCCCGGGGGACAGTGACAAACCCCTGGCGTTGCAGGGCACAGAGCCCCGGGAAGGAGCCAAGGCACAGCGCGATCCGTGCTGTGAACTCCTCACGGCCCCCTGAGGCTTTCGCTGGAATTCTCTGCTTTGGGGTTGTTTTTCCTGACAGGATTTACGAGAACACTTTTTCCACTCGGGTTTCCAGCCGTGTGGTAATGAAGGGTCTGGTCCAGGCTTTGTGCTGCGCTCGCCAGAGCTCGAGCAGGGGATCCTTGCAGAGCTGGGGGCTCTGCTGCTGTCACCTGGATCCCAGTGTCCCAATCCTCCCCACTGGAAACGGGCGGGGGGAGCAATTACAAACCTCAAAGCCTCAGCCAAAATAGAGTGACTTTGCCATTGCCTGGGATGTGTGGCCCAGGCCAAAGCTGGGTGACAGCGCTGCCTGAGTGGCAGGGAAGTCTCTGCCATCCCAGAGCTTCAGTGCAGCCTGGCCTGGCCAGGAACACGGAATGCTGGAGCTGGGAATGCCAGCCCAGGACTCTGGAACTGGAGCTCCCACCTGGAGCAACGATGGCAAAGCTGGAGCTGTCCCTGCCCCTGGCAGGGTGGGACTGGGTGGCCTTTGAGGGCACTTCCAACCCAAACCACTCTGGGATTCTCTGGAAACCAACTGGGAATTCTTTTGTTGTTGCTGCACAAAGAGAAACTGAGTGACAGACACAGCTTTGCTCTTCCGCTAATGCCCCTTTTATTCATTTCTGTAACTTCTTATTTTGTAAAGAAATTCTGTAGCCAAAACCAAAGGGTCTCTTCAGAAAAAAAACCCCAAACAACCCACAGAAAAAAAATTAACCACCACCAAAGTAAATCTTGATTTTAAACCACAGCACAACAACCTCAAAGGATTACTAAATTATTTCCCAGTGTCTCCAGCCACACTTCCTGCATCCATGATTTGTGCCCCTACAAACAAGACCCATATTTACAATAAATCATGTTTGAAAGACTTCTGAGTATGGGAATGAGCTGCTGCTCCTCATAAAAAGGGAGCAAAGCACTGGGTTTTAATTGATATGATCTCATTAAATTTAAAAACATTTCTCTATCACATGTCTGAGGAATGGGTTTATAAAGTGTCCAAGTCCCTTGTTTTCTTCCCTGCCTCCACGCCATTCCCTTGGCACTCTGGCCATTTATCACCATTGCACAACAAGGATTTAAAAAGGGCAGAAAGAATCTTCATCTCCCAAAATCCAACGTGGAAACCATTCCCTGCTTGGAATGAGCCACCTTCAGGTCTGTGTTACATTCAGTGTGCCGGGAAAAACTGTGGAGAATGGGAGAAGGCAGAGTTCCCCCCTTGGGAAGGTGTCCCTGGCAGCTTTCCTTGGCTGGCCCTGTACTCCAGGAGAATTCTTCCCAAACCAGGTGTTTCCTGCTCCTGCTTCAGCTGAGAAACACTTCCCAAACTGCCAGTGAGGCTTCAGTTCTTGTCCTTAAACGCTGCAGTTTTGACCCAGGAAAGGATTCCCAGCATTCTGAGAAACCTTTGCTTCATCATTAAAAGGGAATTGACTGTGGAAGTGCCTGCAGAATGTAAACCCATCAAAAATCCATGGCAAACCCGTGTCCTGGGAATTGGGAATTTAGGGGACATTGGAAAAGTTCATTTTGAAATTCCTGACTGAGGGTGCTTAACAGGGTGGATTTTCAGATTGATAAGGACAAATTCTTGGGGCCAGACTCTTCCATCTGGGAATCTGCTGGATCCTCTTCCCACTGATGCACTGCCTGTGTCTGCAGCAGAGGAGCCAGGGTGGCATCTGCCCTTCCTCCTCTCACTCCTCCCCAGGCTCCACCTTCCTGCCGTGTCCGTGACTCCGGAGGGTCTGTGCTGCTGTGGAAGTGATCCCAGGAAAAGGGAGTTCCTGCTGGACACACAGGAGTGTGGGCACTGAGCACACCCAGGGCAGGAGGGTTGGGGATGCTGAGCACAGAACAGCTCTGCGCCTTCTGCCCGGCCTCGCAGGAGGTTCGGGCAGGGAATTCCACCCCTGGAGCAGAGATCCGGCATTTCATCCCTAGTTTAGTTCCTAATGGGAATCCAGGGAGTGAGGACAACACCTGACATTCCAGGGCAGGCCCCCATCCTTCCACAGGCAAATTCCAAGCAGAATCCGAGCCTGAGGCCACTTGTAATGGCTTTGGCACTTGGCAGGACCGGAGCTCCCAGCCCTGGCACAGCGACTTCCTCCTCGTGGCTCATCCAGATCCGGCTCCCAGAACTGGGAAAAGCTCCATGGAACCTCCCAGGAGCCCCACAGCTGAAAAATGGAGTTTGGAATTCAGGAGTCACTTCCCAAGCCCCAGCCCTGTGTGCAGAGATAACTGGGAGCACATTTGTTTATTTAAACCCCAGAGAGGAAATCATAAAAATGTTCATTTGAAAAATGTAAACTCATCCCTATTCCCTTGAACCACACACGTGTCACCTTCCAAAGTCCTGTGAGAGAGGAGAAAGGCCAGTCAGACAAAGCCTCTGGAGCCAGGAGATGGAATGTGGGATATGGGGAATGCTGTCAGCAAGGGGAGCAGCTACAGCTAAATGGGATTTTTGGCAATGAACACTAATTGAGGGAAGGATGATTCCTTTAGGATTGCTCTGGCACTTCCAGCTACAGAGGAATTCAGTTTTCTTCATCCGAGGAGAGACCTTCGATCTCATCCCTGTCTCCTCCAATCGCCATCCAGAAAGCTTTGGCCACCTACAATGGCAAAAAAGATGGGAAAAGGAGAGAATTCCCATCAAATGACTGAAGGTTTTGTATTTCCCATCCAAAGAGCAGAAAATGAGCAGCAGCTGAATCTGGCAGCCAGATCTGTCAATGTAACACATCCTCTCTGAGGTTAAGGAATTTCAGCAACAGAGAGATGATGGTTCAGGTCATGGGAGGCACCTGTGATACAAAACCTGTGCTAATTAAGGCTTCATTAAATCTTCCAGGAGATCCAGACTTTTCCATTGACTTGTGCAAGCTGGCCAGCACCCCCAGGGCTCTCAGTTCAGAATTCAGAAAGGGGAAAGTTGTTTTTTTATGGCAGTGGGGTGGAATGAGCTGATCTTTAGGGTCCCTTCCAACCCAAACCATTCCAGGATTTTATGCTTTTCTGATATTTCAAACTTCCAGGTAATTCAATTTTTGGGAGATACCTGACAAGTCTTCCCTAGGACTGTGTGGTTTGTTCTCACTACTCTTAATCCAGGAACCCTCCAGGAGCAGGAACTGTGGCTTGGAAAGAACAAACCCATTTTACTGATTTCACTCACCTTCTCTGCGTGCAGTTTCCTCTGGTGGTGAGGCAGCGTGGCAGCTTTGTCTGTGGGGAAGGAGAGGATTTGGGTTGTGAAGCTCAGGAGTGAGCAGGGACAGAAACTCCTCCTGCACCTGGGTTTGGGAACTCCTAGAGCAACATTTGCTGCTTTCAAGAGCACAATCAAGATGAAGGGGAAATGAATGGAAAGAGCAGTTACTTTTAAAGGACTTCAGGCAGGAGAACAGGAATTTCACAGCTTCCCAACTCACTCCTGGCTGGTTTTCCTTGGTTTTCAGAATGGTTTTGTCTGAGCCCCTGGAGGAGGTGCCAGAGCTCAGGCCTATCTCTCCTGGTGCGTTACCTTTCATTTCTTTCAGCTTTGAGAAGAGCCTTTCAAAGTTCTCCAGGTCCCCATCCCTCGTGGTCAGGCTGGCCAGCTCCTGGATGTCCATATCCAGCATGGGATCTGAAATACAGCTTGGTTGAAGGGAAATTATTCTGGTTTCTCAGCAGAAAACCAGGATTTTAACAGCTGCAAATCCCATCTGCAAATTCCAGTGTCACAGGAGAGAAAGAAACATTTCATTTACTGATTGCTCATACACATAAATCATGGCATTGCTACTGTGGTGATTAATTTTATGGAATAAATCCTTCCCTGTGAGGGAGGGCAGGCCCTGGCACAGGGTGCCCAGAGCAGCTGGGGCTGTCCCTGGATCCCTGGAATTGTCCAAGGCCAGGCTGGATGGGGCTTGGAGCAGCCTGGGACAGTGGGAGGTGTCCCTGCCATGGCAGGAGGTGAAATGGGATGGGATTTAAGGTCCCTTCTAACCCAAAATATTCCAGATTCCATGTGAGCTTATCCAGTATTTAAGATTTCTTGCTGATTCCAGGATGCTCCGTCCAGAAACAGCCAGAGAGTGAATCAGAGTGATGAGCTGTGCTGGGACCACAGCAAACACTCAGCTCTCACACACAGCTGGAAAGGAATTCCCATCCCCTGGAATGTGCAGTGATTTAAGGACTCCCCTGGCTCTGGCAGTGCCCCAGTTTCCCTGAGCAGGAGCCAGGTGTGGATGCTCACCTGCAGCACTGTCAGGCTCCAGGCTGTTTGTGCCAGCTCCATCCTCTCCACCATCGGACTGGGATTCTTCCCTGTCTTCTGGGGATGGGTTGGACTGCCAGGAAACAAAGATATTTCAGTATCCAGTAATGCATGAAAAACATCAGCAGCGAATCAGGTGCTTCCTGCTTTTCCTTCAAAACCTTGCACTTTATCTCCAAGTGTTACTGCAAAACCTGTACCATGGAAAGCCACTTCTGGCACTGCATGAAGGGGTTTCAGGATGGATTTGTTGGGTTTTTTTCAAATAACACCATGAAATGACAGGTTTTGTTTTGCCCAAGAGGGGATAATTTGGATATAATCAAACCCATCGTGAATGGAGTTTTTAGTGCTCTTTCCTGTGGCTCTGTGGCACAGTGGGGAGGTCCCAGCCACCCCCCATGGATGAAGGGAGGGCCTGAGCAGAGCAGGGACCAGGAATTATTGGAATTACTGTTTACTTCTGTCTCGGGGGTCTCTTCACAGCCACGGCTCCTGTTTGCTCCTGCCAAGGTGCTGAGGAGACCAAAGCCCTGGGTCCTGTCTGCAAAGAGAGCACAAAGTGCAAAATTACTGCAAGTACTGGCACTGGCCAGCTGGGACAGGGAGTATTTCTCAGCACCACGGAAAACTGCGCTTTTGGAACACTTGAAAAATAGATTTTAAGCAGAAATTTCACATCATCTCTAAGCTTTAAACTGCATTAGCCATGTTTGCTACTACATATTCCCCCCAAAGAAGAGATGTGTGAGCCACAGGAGATGCGGGATCTTTTTAAAGCTTGTTGGAAGTGTCTGCTCCGTTGGGATCTGAGCTGGTAAATTCCAGACGAGGCAGCTGGAAAATGCAGCAGCAGAATTTGCTGTTCCTGGTGCCCAGGTTTAACCTCCATGGGAAGCAGCACCAGGTTTGAGGCTGGATTCAGGAAAACGAGAGCCTTTGCTCACACATGGTCTGAACGGGCTGAGCATGACAATGATGGCAAAGAAAATTGTTCAATATTTAATTCAGAATTCCTGGGTGGAATCATCCATCAAATCCAGGGTTTCTTCTCACTGCAAGGTGCTCTGGGCTCTCCCCACTGCTGGCCCAGGGTGTACCTCAGTGCTGTTTTAAAACCCAACCTAAAAAGTGATTTCATACCTAAACAGTCATCTAAGATAATAAACGTGGTGCAGTATTTTTCATTTAAACTGGCTATATTTTTAAACCTCTTTTATATAAAAATATGTGCATAATGGGTGATATGATGAGGTGTTTTTTTACTAAGTCAGATTTTTCTAAGTCAGTTTACTACTCAATACAAACTGGCCTTGCACTGAGTAGTAAATATTTGCAGTTACACAAGGCACTCAGGAGATTTTTTTTCTGCAAACCTTTGTATTTTAGTCAACTAAAACTGAAATAATGTGAAGTTATTGTACCAGAAATAGCCAGGAAACAATGATTCCTGCCAGAAGAAAGATTTAATATTGCTTTTTAAAAGAAGTATGTTCTAAATTATTACACTCATGACTAAGCTCTAGACTCAACTCTTGAGGTGATGTCATTTGGATGCTCTGTCCAAATTTCCTTGCCATTTCTCCAGACTCTCATTTTGAGGGGTTGGATGTGTAACTGAGCCCATCCAGCACTCACATAAACACATCTCCATGAGAGGATTCCTGAGCCCCCATTCCCAGTTCCCTGCTCCTGATCTGTTCTGCCCCATCCCTGGCAGGGATTTGGGGCCACTGGCTCTGCTTTATCCCCTTCTGCTGCTTTAACAGATCCTGGCCCAAGGGGTGGGAAGAAGTGAATCAGTGGAGCTGAATGAATTCCCTGGAAAACGTTCAGCTGCCCGTGAAGTCCGTCAGGTCAATGAACAGGAACTGGAGGATAAAAGTTTGGGATTTGCACCCCAAATCAAAGCAGCTTCCCCAAGTTTCATGGGGCTGAGCAGAGAGCTGGCTTTGGGGAAGCTGTGAAGATGGACATGGAGCCAATTTCTGAGTCATCTCAAGCAAGGTTGGACACTGCAGTGCAGAATGTCCTGGAGAGAGAACATTCCCACACTGGCAGGGTGGATGCAGTGATCTAATCATGGACCTCGTTCATAGCTGGGATTAGTTTGTCCTGCACAGAAAAATGGCAGTGGCTCCATCTTCCCTCCTCCAACACCACAGAACCTCAGCCTGAATTATTACAAATGTCATCCCCTTCTGAAAAACCTGGAATGTGCAGCAGGGATCTCTAACAGCAGCTACTTGTCCCTGGATCTGTGGTTAGGGAGGAGGCAGACACAACACTTGGTTGCAGGCACACCCTTGAAAAACCCCTTCCTATTAAGTCCTTTTATTGGATGTAAAAGTCATTTCAACTTCTGGGTGCAATTCAGGAAGTGGGTGATGCCTTACACAGTGTTCTTAAGGCAGCAAAGCCAAAAATGAGCTCATCCATTTATTGGAGGAGTCAGTGGCTACGATGGAGCCCAGAGCAGCTGTGGCTGGTCCATCCCTGGCAGTGTCCCAGGCCAGGTTGGACAGGGCTTGGAGCAGCCTGGGACAGTGGGAGGTGTCCCTGCAGGGGTGCAGTGGGATGGGATTTGAGGGCGCTTCCCATCCAAGCCATTCCAGATTCCATGCTCTGTGTGGTTTCACAGGAATCACTCATGATGATGCTCTGAGCATGGATTCAGCATTCCCAGATTCCTGTTCTATAGCCAAGTGTTTTCCATTGCCTTTACCTATTATTCCTCCAGTCTGTCTCCAACTGACACATGGTGATCCTTACACATAAAACTGGAATTAACACATCAAACTCCACAGTTTGTTTAAATGGCCTCCCTAACTCAGGTTAATTGGCTGTGATTAGAGCCAGGCTCATTCCTGGCCCCACCTGAGGTGAGCAGCTTCACCTGGGATCACTCAAGATGGGATTTAAGCAGGAAAGAAGCTGAGCAGCCTCTTCCAGAAGGCTGGAAATGGTTTCTCTTCTTGCCACAGAGGTTCTTGCAGGGACAGAGGAGGCAAGAGCAGTTTAATACTGCTGTGGGGAGGGAAATGTGTTACCTGGAGAATCCCTCGTGTATTCCTACACAAGAAAGCTTCCAGAGACTGAAGGGAGCTCCAAGGCCTGGAGAACCAACTTTACACCAGCTCCAGACAGGATTTGTTCTGGGAGACTCCTGGTAAGACTGTTTGTTTGGCTTGAGTAGAGAGAATGCTGCTCTATTTACTCACAAAGCTCCTGGCATTGGTTACTTGATGTAAACTCGTTTCTAATTCAACTGTGTTACATTTAATAATTATTTTTTATGGATCTGTGCGAGAACAATGCATTTGGTGGTGAGAGGAAAAAAACCTGAAATTTAAAATTTTAATTAATAGGTGTGTGAAAAAAACCTGCAGCTTGAGAATTGTGTTGGGGCTTAATGCAATAAAATAATGTGGGGTTTCATATTTTGTGCTTGAAGAAAGTTATTCCTGCTTTGTCTGTAAATTTAAATTCTCAAGGAAACGGGTTTTTGAATTAAGGCAATGCTGTAGAATTAAGGCTACACCTAACAGTGCTGTGAGTATTTGCTACTACACATTTACTACTGGAGCTCTCTCAAGGTCTCTGACAACCCTTCCCTGCTTGGTTTTCAACCAGCCAGGAATTGCAGATCATCCAGTAGAAAAGCTAAAGTTGGATTGACATGGCAGCCAGTTTCTAGGATCTGGAGGAAGCTAAAAACAAAAGATATGTTACAGGTTGTAAAAAGTTTTATTTTAAGCAAAGTGAGCTCAATGATTTCCCTTTGAAGGCACAGTCAGGCTGCAGCACCTTCCAGATATAGCTCACTTCCTGAGGGCTTTGTGGTGATACAGCAGCGCTGTGTTCAGAGAAAATCTGGATTTTTCAAGGAGTCTGACCTTTACAGAACACACCAGTGATGTGCAGGAATTTCCCCCCTGTGAAGAACTGAACATGTGACTAAATTCTGCTGTTCTGTACACTGGCATCTGCCAAATACAGGAAATAAGTTGTTAAAAAAACATTTTTAGCACAACCTGACACCATCTGCCAAAGTTCCCTGGTTCTCTGCAATGGTTACACTGAATCAGACCCCACCTTTACCTGATGGGGAATGAGAAGTCCTCAAAAAGCTGCATTAAAAAATGGAGTTTAATAATTCTCATCCTGCTTTTAGTGAGTTCCAGCAAGCACCTTGCAGACACAGAAATTAACAGCAGCCTCTCTCTCAGTGCTTTAAATCATTCCACAGTTAATTGTTGTGGGAAGGGAGAAGCCACAGCAGTGGGAAATGGGACATCAGGGAGCAGAGAGGTGTTGGAAGGCTGGTGGTGGGATGAGGCTTTGTGAACATGACATTTCAGGCCAAGCACTCTTTAAGAGTTTCATCTTCCTAGATTTTCTGCAGCAGTTTGTGTGATTAGAAAAGTAATTAAAGGTGTTCAAGTAAATGGAAGGATCTACACTTGCAACCACAGCATTTCCTTTTCTGATGAGTCTAAGGCTAAAGTGATTTTTCCAAAATTCTAACTCTACCTGATAATCAGCTTTCTCAGGAAATTATCTGGGGTTGCCCATTTTTTGCACTTTTGTCAAAAATTTCTGTGGTTTCCATGTACTTGAGTGGGGTTTTCTGTAGCAAAAACATTCCTTAAATGTTTTGACACGGCTCCTTTGCCAAATCTCATCTCTGCACTTGCTATTCTCATCCCTAGTTCAAAAATTTAAAAAAAAAAACAAACAAAAATTCCCTACAACAAATGTGGAGTTTAACCTTTACTTCTACACTGAATCATGGATCAGTCTGATAAAGCTGATAATTACAACCTATTTCCTACTAGAGTTTGGTGGAACAAACTTTGAGTTTTCATTGCAACCTGCAAAATCAATGGAATATTTAACTCAAATTATTGTTAGAGTGCAAGTTAAAGTAGAGAGGGAACAGAAACAGGTGCTGGAACAGGAGGAAGTTTTCCACAGAAATCCTTTCCTGTGAGGGTGGTGAGGCCCTGGCACAGAGAAATCGTGGGTGGGAAGTGTCCAAGGCCAGGCTGGATGAGCTTGGAGCATCCTGGGACAGAGGATGAGATGAGCTTTGAGGTCCCTTCCACCCCAGAGCATCCCAGGATTCTGTGCTAGATCTCACCCACGGCCTGTGAGTTCACCAGGCCATCAAGGGAGGATGAAAGCAATGCCTGAGCCCTCCTGTTCCCTGGGGAAGGTGCCAGAGTGCTCCAGCTGTGTCCAGCTGCTCAGTCTGAGCTCCTGATAACCCCCAGACCCCAGCAGAACCTACCACCCTTCATCACCACGTTGGACCAGACGTTGGCATTGAGGGCCTGCACAATGCGCTTCACTCCGGTGGACTCGGGGAAATCATCTGCACCAAAACACAAAGAACAACTCTAAAAACTCCTAAAAATAACTAAAAACCATAATGTGCCTTCAGAGGTGGGGCTGAAGGCCTGGCCCATCTTCTCGCAATCATTTTAAATTCTGGTACAAAACACACATTTTCCACCTTTGATTCGTGAGAGGCCAAGGAAATGGAAATTAATGCCTCATTTCTTGGGCTGAGCTTCCAGAGATAATGAACTGGGAGCTCAGCACTTTGCAGAGATCTAAATCCTTTTTGTTAAATATTTACCAGGAGGCCTACATTAAGTAAGATCTGAGTAAATTTTATAGTAATAGACAAGGAACTTGAATCTTTTACCCCAAGATCTTTTACAATGCTCTATAGCACAGAAATATTTTAGAAAATAGATATTAGAATTACTTTTTCTATTAAAAAGTAAAGAACTTGAGACAACCATTTAAAAATGGTGTGTTGCCTGTAAAAAATGGAAAGGAATATTGTAAAACTGTCACCACAATATCCATCTCTGAAAGTTCCAGTAATCCTGGGAATTACAGGAACTTGAAAGCCCAGGGAAGCATTATTCAGATTTTAATTTATTTACTGAATAGATCTAATACCACTTTGGATCAAGTCAGTTTTCCCATTTCCTCAGTTTAGTCAGCTTCCCATGTTTGTGCAGGTTGACAAAGGGGAAAAAAAAAACCCCAAACAATCCTTTGAACACAAAATGTGATTGTTTGGAAATCAAACTCAAGTGACTCAGGGACACGTGCAGTAATTGAAACTGACTTTAGAAATGAATTTAAGGCTGAAATCGGATTTTTTGTCCTCTGTGATGCTGCTGCTTGGTTTGATATCAGAATCATTATCAAGAATCTCAGTTTAGAGCTCTTGTCCTGACTGTGCAAACAACTGACAATGAGTCAAAACAAAAGTTCCAGTTTATTTGAGATGAGCTGTCTGAAATGTCAGAATTTCGAGCAGAGATTGGCCCAGTGTGTTTACAGCATCTGCTGTGCCTTTTGTAACTCACCCAGAATGTTTGTGGGGTAAATAAGTTACTCACTGGAACACAGTTCCTCCTCTGCATGAGTCACAGTGAATCAACTACCAGATTAAACAGTTTGGAAAGAACATGTATCCCAATATTCCAAAAGTTAACATCCTGAGTTGTTATTGTTCCCATTATTTACATGGTAAAGAGCTTGTTCTTTACAACAATTATTCAATAGGAAAATAACTTGATTTAAGGTTACTATTTTTAAAGCATTTAGTATTTGTTTAGTCTAAGGAGTCTTTAATTCTGATTTTCCTGGTTTCTGTGAATCGAATCTGTGAATCTCCCTCCTTGACTAAAGAAAAAAAGGAAACATTTTTAAAGGATGGTGTGGAGAGAGGGAGAGACTTCTCAGCTACTCAAAATCCAATTTTAGTAGGCCTTCAAAGGAGGGAAAGGAGTGGGATGTGTTCTAGCTGAGGACTTTACAGTGATTTTTGGTGATTGCAATGTGCTTGGATAACTTGAAACAGAGCAAATGTTAGTGACTAATTCCTCTCCAGCCTGCAAATGCACTCAGTTATCTCATTTTATTCCAGAGAGGTAAGGTGTAAATGCTTTTTTGTGTCACTGAAGTGAGGAGATAAGGCTGATGCTGATAAGGCTGTCAGGAAATGCACAGTCACTTTTCAAGAGTGGAACATCACACTTCTGAGTCTTCTTGCTGGTTTTTTTTTTTTTTCAAGTTAAAAATGTTGGGCAACCAGTGATTCTGAAACTGGTTTTGTTTCCTGTTTAACAGCTCGTGTTGCTCTGAAATGTTTTTAACAACCTGACATTTTCAGCCTATCATGTCACTGTTTGTACCAAGATAGTATTAAAATAGTTTTTAAGTCTTTTTAAAACTAGTATTTTTCTGCCCTCTTGCACAAAGATTTTCTAAGTGGAATACAAACTTCTGATGTATCAATACAGCCCTAGGGCAGTGCCAGCAAAAAGAGCAGATATTATTTTTACGTAGGTGCTGCATAAACAGCAGCTGGATTTGGGAGGGGACAAATGGAATTTCTCAGAGGAAATAACCTCCTCCTCCTCCTGACCTTTTATAGCTGAGACTAAGCCCCACCACCCGGGAGCATTCCATGCTGTAATCATGTGGCACATCAACAATTACAAGGGGCGTTATTTTCTTCAGAAGATATTTTGGGGCACTTTTTCATTCTCAAAATGGCAAGAGAAGCAGCAGACCTACCATCTTCATCAGGCAGCTCCTCAGGGCTGAGCTCCACCAGCTCAAAGCCATGCTTGATGCACCACTCTTGAGCTTTCTGTCTGTTTACACCTAAATTGGGAGACAAAAATGGGTATTAAAGGTGCAGATTTGAGACCGGTATCAGCATATTTTCAGAATATTTAGCTGTGTTTTATTCCCTCAAAGTAGTTTGCTTGTTCTGGAGTGTATGGGAAAGTGTATAGCAGCTGGCATGGATCCTCCATTCACTGTGGATTCCAAAATTAGAGTTGCACTCCTCCTTGGAACTGAGAAACAGAACCAAATGGTTTTGCAGAGGGTACAATGTAAGTGTGAATGAAGACTTCTGTTAAGTCTGGGTTTGATACTGAATAAAGCTGCAGGGACACATCTGCACCTCCCAGTGCTGTTGTCTAGAACCACAGCAAACCTGTGTTCAGTCTCCAAACGGAATTAAGTAACCAAGTCCTCCCCATTTTTCAGCAGGGTCCAGCAGCACGAATGCCTTTTAGTGCCCCTGCAGTGGCAGGACACAGAGCTGAGCAATCAGGTAAAATTCTGATTCAGTTTTAACCACATCCCACTGAAGGTTTCAGCTCCCAGAGTCACCTGCCTGTGCTCTATCAGCTCTCCAGGCCAGCCTCACCCAGACTCAGAGAAGCAATTGTTGATGTAATTAGAAAGTCAATTATTATGCAGGTTAATGGCTCTAAGTGAGGATGGGAGTTCTTTGGGTTTCCTACCGTTCTCAGACACTCTGTCACAAACCAGGATCATCACTTCTGGCAGCCACTCTTCTGTCAGGGGAAGCCATTCAGAGACCCCCTCCAGTCCAGTTTTCTACAGGGGAAAAGAATTCTTAGAAATACATCCTACAATACTTTAGTTTTTAATGGTATTGAAATTGAATTATATAAAGAGATAGTTTTGTTTGGTTTTTTTTTTTTTGTCTCAACCTTTCTGGTTTCTGCTAAATCAGTTTTTACTGCTGCTGGTTTAGTAGAAGCAATTTTGGGTAAAATGTACTGAATTTTATGTCTAGCTCCCTAAATTTTGTCTGTCCTAAAGGAGCCTTTAAGAAGCAGCACCAGCTAGGAATAAAGCTGGAGATGCTGAGCTGGATTTGCCACAGTGGCATCCTGACTCCTGAAAACCCCTCTTCCAGCTGGAGGAGAGTAGTAAGAGAGAAGGAAACTGCTGCTATTGTTAGCAGGGAAATTTAATATTGAGTATTTAACACTGATCTTCTGCCAAGGAATAGAACAGCCCAAAGGGGATGGATGGAGAATCTGATTTATGGTTCTCTCTGTGATAAGGCAGCCACATGAGGGATGAAGCAGGAGGATGAAGCAGAAGAGCCTTACTGTTGTGCTGTCGAAGTACACAACAAATGCCTGCACAGCCTCAGCAATCTCCCCAGTCACGTGAAATGTGTTTGGGACCACACAGAGGTGGATATCTGCAGAGTAATATTTGTTATCTATCGTCCAGGGGTAGAAATTCACTCTTCCACTTGTTATTGCACCCACAGTAAGGTCATCTTTTCCTGTGATACCTGCAGGAGAGAAAATGGATGAGGAGGAGGGTAAAACCAGCATCAAGAAAATAATTTGTCTAGAGAAGTACAGTGCTAATACAGATCTGTCTTTACTATAATAAACCACTATATAATCAAGATCTTTAGAAATTCAACTCCATTTGTTACTCTGTCACAGATTTTACTGCTTAGCTTTCAAAAGAGTTTATTTTCTAATTTTCAGCATAAAATATGGCCCAGGAGTTGCAGAAAGCCTTTTGTTTTCCTGGAAATGGCTTTTCAAATGTTAACCTCAAATTTAGTACCTGCAAACAGGATGTATGGAGAGAAAACCTAAACTTTATTACAACCATGTATGCTCATTGAGATGTAAAGATCTGTTTAACTGTGACCAAAACCTGAAGGCAACTAATGAGAAAATAAACCCAGTTCCTACAATTCAGTTTAATTCCCATTAAATTCCATGTAGGAGCTCAACCATTAAAATCCAGTGCTTTGCTCAGGTGCTGCCAAAAGCCCTTCAAGGCAGGAACCTGCCCAGGAACACTCCTGGAGCTGAATTAAGAGCTGGAAGCAGAGCATCCCATTACTCCTTGAGGGAAAGGCCAGGATATCTTGTTCAGGCTGGATGAACTCGTGGACACTTTGGAACACAGGTCAATTATTTATAAAATGGACTGAGTCATGCAGAGTTGCCTTGGGCAGCAGAAGAGTTAAAGGATAAAGTACATGGCTTTTCAAGGATTTGTATTTTAAGGTACTGAGAGAGAGTTCCTGGAGCTGCTGGAACAGGCTGTTCCCTGAATAGTCTGGAGATGAATTTGAATTTATCTGTATCTTATTAGTATAAAGACAGGAAAACCTCCTTGCCAAGGCTGCAGTGATTTTTACAACTAAACTGCAAAGCTGAGGAATAGATCTGGTGAATGAGCACAGGGTACAAGGCAGGGAGAGCTGTAAACCAGGATTATTTGCAGCCCTGAGGAGGAGATGGAATCTGGGGGAGAAATGTGACCTTGGAAACAGAAACCTGTAGCCATTTCCTACTAAAGAGGATGAAACAGGAGTCTCCTCTCTGGGTTTCTTAAAATAAGAAGTGCCACATCTAAATGATTCTTCCAGGCTCAAGTTTTATTTTATTTTGGATGGCAATTATTTTTCAGAGTAACTGGTCTTTAATCAGGTGATATTCCATGCTAAGATTACCCACCTCACTTTGGAGCTGGGGAACCATGATCCTGGATCCCAAACCAACCTGGATTCTGAGCTTTGTATTCTCAGAGGTTTTATTTTGAATATGATATAAATTTCCCTTTACCCATGTTCTGACAGTTAAAAATAAGTAACTAAATTAAAATCAGTCTGAGCTAACAGAATTGCAAGTCAATGCCACAAGAGGCTAAGAATAAAAGGGTCCACAGAAATTACTGAAACCCAGAAAATAAGCAGTAAGACTGATGGAGGAAAGTGGGGTGAGGAAGAAAATCAGCTCTAAAGTCACTTGAGTCAGTCACCCTAACAAGGATACAAAGGGAAAGAACTTTCATAAAAGGTTTTCAAAAGCTGATAGGAATTTCGCATTTGCTTTGTAAGGGATACTTTTTTTTAGAAGAGTTCATGGACAAATTTAGGTCTCAAAGCACTGCTAGAATGAGGCCATGTCCCATTTCCTATTACCTGCTACTTGTTCCTGTATTTTAAAGGGTTTTCTTTCATCCCATTGTGCTGCTGATTACCCATCCTTCATCCCGAGATTTTGCCAATTCCCTGTGAAACTTCTTTCCCAGTAAAAATGGATATTGCACACTAAACTCAAAGGGCTTCAGGAACTTGGGGAAAGGATTCAGACTTGTGTCTCAGGCTGCTTGTGGGATTGTAAGAAATCACTGCACAACAGCCTGATCACTCCTGGCAGGAAACTGAGCAGCTTGTCAGGAGTTCCCTCCAAGAAAAGTCACTTGGAACAATTAGATTTTGGTCTTTAAAGCAAAAGCAGAGACTACAAAAGAAATATACACTGCAACTCAAACTGTTCTCATTTGATGCTGGAATTAGTTTTAAGGGCTGTATTTACCACACCAGCATTCCAGAAACTTCTTTCCAAGACAGCCTGGATTTTAATAAAAGCAGAAAATCCAGCCAGAATAGTTTGGTATTTAATTTAGAGAGTATTGATCAGAATAAACTCCTAGAAAATTAATATGGCAAAAGATGGCTTGTCCAAGTGAGCCCTTATGACTCCTTTTTCATGTGAAACTGCTCAGCCTTTGAAAGTGTCAGTGGTTTGCCATGCACAGAGCCTGGAAAGCCACGTGAGTCATTGTGTGAGCACAGCAGGAGCCAGGTCCAGCAGCAGCAGCTCCACAGGTAACAGCAATGCCAAAAACACACCTGGAAAACTCCATGGCACTGACAGAGCTGCTTGGTGTCACCCAAACCAGCAGAGTTCAGGGTCCCCTGGGGAATCCTGTGCCTGCTGGACACTCTGGAATGAGGCTCCCAGTGTTAGCAGTGGCTGCAGACAGGCTGGGTTTGTGTCCCACACTGCATAAAAGCATTTGGAGCAGCACAAGCTGCCTCATCCCAGGGAATGATTTGAGGCCATTTTTGGCTGCTCCAGCATCATCCCTGGGTCATGACCTCCTGCAGCTTCCAAAGCCCTGTCCTGCAATAAGATCACCACATTTGCTGGATAATTCCCCTTCTCCAGTTTATCCCATGACTGATTTTGCTCTTTTTGTATCAGAAAACCATTAAACAACAAACAGCAACTGACACACATGATCAGTTCATGGCTCAGTCCAGTAACCGATCCTGGCTGGTGTCACACAGCTCCAGAACTTCCAAACTTCTCTGGAATCTCTCCAGAGGAAAAGGTTTCATCAGGCATCAGTCACTGACTTATTTTTCAGCAAGTTCATCAGTTGTGTCCCTTCTTCACTCCAAGTATTTATAAATTTTAATAAAGCAGGCAATAGTTATGACCAGTATTTTTGGAAATTATTTTCAGCTATTTACAAAAATGTTTGCTCCTTTTATTGACTTAATCGACTTTTAATTTCATATTTTATCATGCAAACAAGATTATGATTTTGAACACAAGAGAGGACATGGCAATATTGTAAAATTGCACATCCCATTTTTAATGCTGAGTCTTAGTAAGTCTTCTGAAAGTGCAAAAACTTTTGAAAAAGGAGAGTTGAAGACCAGAAATAACTTTTCAGAAGACTTAAATAATCAGAGAACCACATGTAGCTCTCTTGTAATAATTTCCCTGTTCTTTAACACACAAGTGGTATTTAAGCAATTTTAGCACATTGCCTAATAATCTTTTTTTTAATTATTACAACTTATTTTTGTGTTTTTTTTCTCCAAAGGGATTAAGGTATTGACCACTCTTCCTGGTGTTTTTCTGATTGAATAGATATTTTAAGAACATAATGCCCTAAATGCTCCCAAATCTCAGAGTTGTCAGGTACACTGAGTAGTTCCAACATTCTGGCCCTTGAGAGCCACCTGGTGGAATAAACCATAAAAAATACTCCTAAAATTACACCAAGGAGTAAAGAGAACCCAAATATGCTGGGGAGGGGGAGGAGGGGAGTGGTAAAAACCCAAAAACAGAAGGAAGAACAATCACATCAGACAGCATGAAAACTGAGCCAACCTTATTTGCTGTTTTGTGATAAATATATCACAATAATAATGGGCAGATCGATGTTGAGCACTTTAAACAGGTTTGTTTAGCCACAGTGTCCCATGAATTAAAGCAATAAGAAACCTGCACAAATAAAATTATATCTAGCAAATGTACCATCAGCTGCTTCTCCATCCTCAAGCCATTTTACATTTAACAGGAGGAAAACCCTGGAAAAGGTCTTGGAATTGACCTGGAAAGTTCTGACAGGGTGTTTTACCAAATCCTTCCCACTGCTGCGCTGTCCCTGCCAGTGTGTCCTTGAACATTTTACAATCTGCAGCATCTGATTTAATTTCATTTGTTATACAAAGCAGGGACATAAAATGCTGATGGTATTTATTTTACCAAATGATTTGATTTCTTTCAGGAGGATTTTAATGTAACCCAGTCAGAGGACACGCAGACAGGACTCCAGTTTTCGTACTCGGAGCAGTGGAAGCTGAGACATTTCAAAGTGAGTACCAGTTAAAAAAAATTGAGCTTAAATTGTATGACTTTCTCAGATTCAATAGCTTTTTGCTCACCTACCTTTTCTACCTGCTTCATTTCACTATAGAAAATAATCAAAGGGGAAGCCTAGAGGAATCTTGAAATATTCCTTCTAATTTGCTTATACCTTCCTCAAAAATGAGCTAATAATAATAATAATATTTTTTGGTGTGGAATCTTTAAATAATTCAGTGTCATGCAGCTGCTTTGACAGAGAAGCCTTTGACTGCAGATCTTGTACTGTGACTTTTGTTTCAAAATGTGCTTTAATGAGGTGGAGGGAGCCAGTTCTGGGGAGCAGCCCTATGTTTGGTGAGGTCCTAAGGAAGAATTGCTCAGAAAGAGATAAAAACAAACCCAGAGAAGGGATGAGGGAGTTAAGTTCTACATCTCAGTGTGCACAGCAAACTGTTCATGAATTCCCTAAAAACCAGGGCTGTCCTAACACGGGGAACTCACCAAGATCTGAACAGCTTCTTCCTGGAATCCCCCGATTTTAAAATTACCAGAAATTCCACCATGGTTTCCTCCACTATCAGATCTTAATTCTTGTGTTCCCCTTTTGAGCCATAAAAATGGCAAGTGGTTCCCAGGAAGACCACTTCCTACCGAATTAATTCCATGTATTCGGTACGAAGTGTAATCTGCAATTCTACCAGCTGCAGAACAGACAAATTTCTTAGCTTTTCCTTTTAGTCCCCCCGCATTGAGAAACCGGTGAATGATTTCCCTATAGCACTAAGGAGGCTCCTGACACCCTCAGCAAGGGGTCGGGGACTGCGTGGCTGCCCTGGGAGTGATCCCTGAGGGGACAACTGCGACCTTGGTGGAAAAACGAGAACCTGAGGGGAGAGCTGAGATCCTGAGGGGAAAATCGGGATTCTGAGGGGAAAATCTGGACCTAAGGGGACGGCAGCGACCCTGAGGGGAAAATTTGGGCCGTGAGGGGACGGCAGCGACCCTGAGGGGAAAACTGCGATCCTGAGGGGAAAACAGCCCCCCTGAAGGCCGGGGCTGGAGGGAGCCGCTGTCAGCCCGATTCCCGGGGCGCAGGCAGGCCGCGGCCCCCGGTTCCGCCCGCCTGGACGCCGCGGCTGCCCCGACTCACGTTTGACGAGCTCCTCGGGCGCGAAGCCCGCGGCACAGCT